AAGATGGGCGGAGGGCAGGTGGTTAGAATACAGTGTTACAACACCAAGGTCTTGGTTCAGATCCCTGAAGTGCCTGGCCTTCCCATTTCATCATGCATGTCAGATTTTGTGACCTAGAGGAAAAGTGCTATCCCCCTTCCTACTCACTTCCCCTCCTCCCCATTCATTTCCCTGCTTCTCCCTGTTCTTTACCCAGCTTTTATTTATTAGTTTGGAAGGATTTAAACATCAATTCCGCTTGTTTAATTTTTTCCTTTATTTCACAAGCCCTCTCTCTTGTTTATCTCCCTCTCTTTTTCTCTCTCTCAAAGTCAAAACCTTTCTGAGAAGGTCAGGGTAGAGTTTCCACTGTTTTTGCTGTGGGTGGGAAGGGTGGGGTAGAGACAGATGCGGCAGGGACAGGAAAGGGCCAGAGTCATCCCCAGCCCCCACTCCCAGGCACTCAGGAAGAAAGCTGAACTTCTCCGAGTTTCTCATCAACTTTTCTGGGGTGTTTTGTTTACCTCCCTTACTCTAAGATTGATTCTCTACTCAGTGGCTGCAACAGGCCTCAGACTTTTCACTTGGGCAATATTTTTCTTCTGGAAATAAATTGGGGGAAAAACAGAGAGAGAAAGGATAAATTTGATTACTGGTAAGTTGCACCACGTCAGGCTACTTGTCAGGGTGTTCGTGCCTTATGGGGACATAAACCTTAGACGTGAGCTTGGATTCACATCCTTTGTGATGACTTCCAATCAAAAGTCACCTAAATCTAGAATCTAGAAATATGATTATCGCTTTTTCAAAACTGAAAGGGACAATTAAGGTTATAAAACCCCAGATACCTTTAGATCTGAAAGCCAGTGTGGGCTCTGACAGAAAAGAAAAAGCAGGCCTGACAGCCATCAGCTGAGAGCTGGTCAAGCACTCACAGGTAGGCCATGTGTTTCCTACTTAAAATAAACAAATTTACAGAATTCCAATAATCAAAGTAGGCTATTCTGTGATTGTGATTTGAGATAAAAACAAGACCACTCTTTAATCATGCCAGAGCACAGACAAAAACAAGAACACTGTGCAAACTACAAAATGACCACACATTCCCCTCTTCTTGCTGATCTGAGTAACTGCTGCTTCTTTACCAAAATTGGGCCACTCTGTTCCTCCCACTTCCTTCTAAAAAGTATTGTAATACCCAAACATAGACTTGTCCCCTTCATTCTGACAGTATTTATCCAGAGCAAACACTTGCTTCCTTGAACCTCCCCTAAATCACCTAACACAAGCTTAAATCCTATAACAAATTCCTCCCATATCCTCTTACTGAGACAGGCCACACCTTTCAGTACCCCAGGGGGTGTGGAATCTACCCACCAGTGTGTGGAATCCGTGCTGCTGTAACAGGTATCAATAAACTCAAGTGGTTGGAGTCCAGGTGGCTTTGGCTGGCGGACTTCAACAGGCAGTCAGAACCTCACTGTGAGCCTCCCAGCGTGCACTCCACCCACCCCAAAGATGACCCCAGACTCTCAGTTCCCAGACAAAGCAAAATCTCTTAGCATCTAAAGCCAAAAGAAACTTCCCACAGATTTCTAAGAACAAAAACTGAAACAAAAAGCATGTTCATGATTTATTGATAATTTTTCAGTGATCAGGTATTCACAGAAGGGAACAGTTGTTCATTGTATGTTTCATGGACACATTCCATCTTCTTTCCCACATCTTTAACTCAAATGACAATTGGCTTAGTTTTGTTTGTTTTCCAAAGAAACTCATAAAAGGGCTTGGAAAATTCTGAGATTGTTTTCTCCCATTGTTTCACAAACAATAGACCTTTTATAAACCCCTCTGTTATTGCAGAATGGAAAAAGCACAACTGTGTTCAGATCAGTGGTTCTTCACGTCTCCAGGATTTTGAGCTCTTACCTCCCAAGTATTCAAAGCCTCAGTACACATGAAAATGAAAAATAGTGACAGCTTTTTAGTGATGAGGATGGAGAGAAAAGAGATGGTGGTAATTGTTTGGACAGTTTCCCTAGGAGACAGCAGGTCTCTTGCCATTTGACCACAACGTTAGCTGACCCACTCCTTTTTCCCCAAATTGCCTGAAGGCACACTAACTGTGTCTAAGAATTAGGGAGGGAGTTAGGGGAGTGTGTGTTTGGGGGTAGGGGTGAGGATCGGGTACAGGGGTCTGGAGCTGGAAGTGGAGACCTGTGAGCAGGCTGGAAAAAGTTCTCTTGAGGATATCTGGCAATTTCTAGCATAGTGTCCCATTTCTTTAGCAAAAAGAGTTGCCTTCTGAATCTCTCCCGTTCATCTACACTCTCTCTCTCTCTCTCTCTCTCTCTCTCTCTCCCCCTCCCTCCCTCTCTCTCTCTCTCTCTCTCTCTCTCTGCATGGTCACCTGCAGACAGTTTCCCAGTGCAGCTAATTTTCTGCATCTTTTGCCTGAGAATGTTACCACACAAGCCCCTGAGCCAATGAGGGACAGGATTTCAGATTTCTCACCCTTTAGTGACAATTCTGAGTTTGGGGGTTTCCAGTTCCACTTAATCACTTAGAGAGTCCCCAGCAATGTAGGCCCATAAAGGTAGCCTAGGTATAAACACACCCTTTATTGACTCTTCCCTGTCTCATTTCCTTACTTCCCTACAGTGTTTTCTGGGATCACAGTCCAAATAAATTTCTTGCATCCAAAAATCTTTATCACAGGGTCTGCTCTTGGGGCAAGCCAAACTAAGACAAGGTCTTATAAGGAAACATTGAGAAACAGCTGTGACAAGAGGAAAGCAGGGTGAAATCAGGACAAAAATGAATTCATGGACTATTCCTAAAACATCAAAGTCCTGCATTTTCACGTTTTCCATAGCCTGTTCTTCAGTGGGGGAAGTTAGCCCTGCTTTGGGTGGATCTGCCCCACCAGGTAACAGGAAGAGAGAAATGCTAAGATGACGGGGTGGAAGGTAGCTTAGAGGCTGCAAGGGAGTAAATTCTGGGGAGAAGTCAAAGAGTGGTCCACATAACCCTGATTCCTTCCCTGAATTCTATCTCTCCCTTGCTCAATCCAAAATCACTTTATTGGCTCCCATAAGTTCCCTGTCACCCTTCTTCTTTGTTCTAGGAACTCTTTATTTCAAAAGTATTTCCAAGAATATGACTCAGAGATGTCACCAGTCCACCAGATCTCAGCCTCTTGCTCCCCAGGGCACATTTAACCTCCCCACTACCCTCTGTTCCACGCAGAAATTCACTACCTTCCCTATACCATCCCCCTTTCACCTCCTTTCCATCCACCCTTCACATATGCAAACTCTGTCGTGCTACAGTGTGTATAACTTTAACTTGGGTTTGGAAAATAGGGGGATTATGTCAGTATTATAATGTTGAAATGTCATCAGATCATATCTGATTATTACCAGCATATCAATAGTGTATGCCCCCAAGAAAGAGCAGCTGACTACAAAGTTCAATAGTAAATGGCAGAAGAATACAGTACTGAACATGATGCCCATTCTTTATAATAGGGAAAAAAATGTTCCACAATCTTGGCAATTATGTAACTGTTCATGTTTTGAATTATGCAAAAAGCCTTGTTGTTTTTATGATGTACAGAAACATAAAATAAATACTGGAAGGAAATATGCCAAAATGTGAATTGAGGCTATCACTAGGTAGTAGATTAAGGGTGATTTCCACTTTATAAAAATATTCTTTAATTTTTCCATAATAAGAGGTTTAGCCCAAAATAAGGAATTGCAGGCCTCAGGAGTTGCTTTGAGAGCCATCACTTTCGCAAGGAGGCAACACTGGGGCCCTGTGAACTGAATCTCACCTCATGAGCTGGCCTTAAGGGTTGGCCTCCAAGGGATTTGTGCCAGCAGACACAGCAGCTTCCGTGGGCACTCAGATGAGGAACAGGACTGTCAGCGGTGAGCTGAAGGCTACTGCTACCTTGGCCTCTGCCCTTTCATTTCTCAACCCACAGAAATAATAGAAAAACAACTTACTCTCTTCTGCGTCCCTACCACGTGCTAAGTGCTTTACCTGCTTAATCTCATTTAATCCTCCTAACACTTCTCCAAGGAAGGTATTATTAACATTATTCCCATTTTAGAGATAAAAGAACTGAGGCTTGCAGAGGCAAATTAACTGGCTGAAGGGCTCACATCTCATTTTAGTGTTCCTTGGCCCTCTTCCTTTCTCTCTGTCCCCTTTTATTTAGTCCAGCTCGTCAGTGTATATTCTGATCTCTGAGCTGAAGACCACAAATCCACAGTTGTCCATCTCTGGAAAACTTTCTCTTTTTTTCAAAGTAAATACACCAGGCTACCTGGGGGCAGGCTTTCCAGAGAGCACTTCCCCTTCCTTCTCCCGCTGGCTTTTAACTTTTGCCACTGGGGCCACATCCGCTTTCTCACTCGGTAGCAGTGGCTCCTTGTGCCTTTTCCTGCAAGATCACCGAGGTCAGTATGTGTGATTACTCTCAGCCCCTCTGAGACAGTGAGCGGCCAGGAGGGCACACCAGGGGTCTTCAAAAAGTTCATGGAAAGATTTTTTTTTTTAGTCTTTTATCTATTATGTTTTAATTCTATCTTTCCACGAATTTTGTGAAGTACCCTCAAAGCTCTCCTTCAGACTCCTCCCTTTAGTGCAGTGATTCTAAGATTTATTCATTTATGTGCAACCCACGAATGGGTACTATGCCTTCCTTCTCTTATGTCTCTTTTGGGGTTTCAGGGCCCAGTCTGTTGTTTTATACCTGCTTAGCCAAACTTAGGGAGGTGGGTGGGATGGTGCTGATGGCGGCACAGACTGAAAATCCCCACTGAGGAGGAGGCACAGAGAGGGCTTCACATGCAAATGCCCAGAGCTCTCCAGGATGGAAAGAACTGCAGGGAGGACGGTGAAGAGCAGAGAGTCTTCAGAGCCCATAGTTAGCTCCTGTGCATTCATCTCCTAGGTTGCAGCTCCTGACGGACTCACACCAGAATCCTGCTAGCCCAGACAGGTTGGAGATGGCAGTCTTCCCAAACTCCTGCCTCCCAGGTCTGCTCATTCTCATTCTTCTGCAGCCGCCTAAGCTGGATTCAGGTGGGTCTACCTTCCCTCTCTCTGGACTGCAAGGGTGAAAGGTCTCAGTAAATGTAAGTGATCCCATCCCGTTCTCCCTGTCGACCTCCACTGGGGTCCATTTGGATTCCTTCGGGCTGTCAAAGTTATGAGACATAGTGCAAGGGACTCTACATTTTAACAGGAGTCTGGGCCTATGTCAGTCCTCAATTCCCATCTCCACATCCCGTATGACTGCTTGTTCTGTGGCAGCTCACTTTGATGTGATTGGACCTCTGGAGCCCATTCTGGCCATGGTGGGTGAAGACGCTGAACTGCCCTGTCACCTGTCCCCGAACGTGAGTGCTGAGCACATGGAACTGAGGTGGTTCCGGAAGAAGGTCTCGCCGGCTGTGTTGGTGCACCAGGATGGGCGAGAGCAGCAGGGAGAGCAGATGCCCGAGTACCGAGGCAGGGTGACGCTGGTGCAGGATGACATCACTGAGGGGCGCGTTGCTGTGAGGATTCACGGTGTCAAAGTCTCTGATGATGGCGCATACCGATGCTTTTTCAGGGAAGATGGAAGCTATGAAGAGGCCATCGTGCATCTGAAGGTGGCTGGTGAGTAGATGGGTTTTGACCTTCTCCGGTGACTCCCATGTAGTATATACTCTCGTATGGATTTACTATGGAAACCATCATATTCATTCCTGAAATCCCTTTTAGGTTGGAGGGGATTGGCAGACCTGTTGTAGGAGATAAGTGGGAAGGAGGTTTGAGGTGAGAACAGGAAGAGACCAGAGAAATGTCTTTCTTGTAGAGCTTTATTTCGCTTATCTCCTGCCCTTTCCCCTCAATAATAGCATAAGCATTTCCCCATGAAACTAATTAAATAAATGTAAGATGTAATGGCCATATCACATTCTTTTATACAACACAATTTACTTGCTCAAGTCCCAGAACTGAATATCTTAGTTGTGTCTGTTTTTCATCACTACACTAAGGCAGTGGTAAACATCCCATATACTTTGAGGCTGCTTTATGGATCAGTCTCTAAGGACTGATTTTCTAAAATCAGAGGCTGTTTGTTAACATTTTGATCCACCTGGAAAATATTTCACTTTTCTTTCCCTTTTTGCTTGAAGCCAAATTCCAGGGCAAAACAGTAAGGAAACTGGTAAGCATTCAGGAGGAAAGTATGCATGAAGGGCTGACTTTCCCACGTACTAGTGAATAGCATCAAGCAAATCTCTTTCTGAGCCATGCGTCCTACTGTAAAACTGGGGAAGCGTTTATCCAGGATGATTTTGCAAGAATGAAAAAAATTAGGCAATGTATGAGAAACTGCTTTGTCAATTCTAAAAGCATTATATGCTTGTAAGTATTATCACTGTGCCTTAGACTGATCAAAACCATACAATATACAAATATACTGCCTTTCTTATATATATTAAAATAAAGTTTGAAAAATACTTTGGTGAAATCTGGGTCTTCACTTCATAACAGGGCGCCCCCTGTGCAACATCATATGTACCTCTCATTTTGTTTTTTAAAGAAGAAGTTGATTATAAAAACCTAGAGATTCGATGGCCTAAAACTGTCATTGTAATCTTTTATGAGTGATGGCACCTTTGAGAATCTGCTGAAAGTGGCAGCTCTTTCCATGAAAAGACTGTACACTCTTGTATATATACATAAACTTAGAATATGGATTTAAACCAATGGTTGGGGCCATGTGGTTTAGGACTCTTTTCTGCAGCTCAATGTTTTTTTGTACTCTGTGGAATTGTTAGAAAAGAATTAGGCTGAACAGGCAGGAAAAGCAGCTTTATGTTGATTTACATTAGGGCATAATTGGTTGAGGAAAGATGAGGTTGAAACCATTTAAGAAAATTCCTGAATCAGCATCACTGGTAAAGGAAACTACAATCTCAGGGCAAAGAACCTCCAGTCCTCCTCCTCAAAGATATTTCTTCTCAGTTCATCCTTAAATACCCAATCCTAGTTTTCCTCCTCCTCCCCAAATACCTCCAACCACAGACCTCTCTCCCAGCTCTGGCGCTCCCAGCCTAGACCACTAATCCACCTCTAAACCATTGGTTTTACTGTTCCTGCTGGCTGAAGAAGTCCCTGTGTCTACCCATCAAACTCCAGCCCACATTTCAAAGGCTAGATCCTAATAAGGCATCCCTCTTTGATAGGTATATGAAATTTCTTTTATTGATAACTCAGTTTCCTTATGTAATAAAATATAGAGATGAGTCTCTCCTATTTCCAGTCTACTTCTCTCTCTCTCTCCCCCCCTCCCCCACCCCTTTCTCAAACTATGTAGCCCTATGGTTATAAGGCTCCAAGAAAGGTATCCACTAAAAGATTAAGGCCAGCTTGTCTCTCCATAGCTCTGGGCTCTGACCCTCACATCCATATGGAAGTTCAAAAAAGTGGGGAGATCCAGCTGGAGTGCACCTCAGTGGGATGGTACCCAGAGCCCCAAGTGCATTGGAGAACTCCCAAGGGACAGAAGTTTCCATCCACATCAGAGTCCAGGAATCCTGATAAAGAAGGCCTGTTCACGGTGGCTGCTTCACTGATCATCACAGACACCTCCGTGGAGAACGTGTCCTGCTGCATCCAGAACCTCCTTCTTGGGCAGGAGAAGGAAGTGGGGATTTCCATTCCAGGTCAGTGGAACCAGTACTGGGCTCTTATGTCAACACAGCTTCAGAGTCACACAACATGGGACCCCTGCCCAGATGTGACCTCATGGCACAGTCATCTACTTCCGCGACCTAAGCTCCTGCTCACTGACTTGAGGGAGCCCCACCAGCTTTATTAGAAAAGTAAAGATTCTGAAAGCATAAACTCTACCTAGATCTCATAGAAATTTCAGATTTTCCATTTTAAAAGATATATCTGAAATATAGATGCTTTGTCTCTGGAGACGTTCCTGATCCAGAACCTTCCCTCCTAGAATAAACATGGAGACTAAGTTGTTCTTCTAGTCTTCCTATTTCTACCCTAACCTCTCTTCTCCCCTCCCTGTCCTGTGCTAGAGCTCTGTCTAGATTTCCAGGGTTCTCAGGAAAGCAAATTCTCTTATTATTCTCCCAGATACCACCTCTGATTCAGGCAGGAAACTTTCTTTATTCTTTGGCCACTGAGTCCCATTCTGTCACATACACAGGTGACATTTCCCCTTCCTTATTTACCTCCCTCATCCCCTTGGTTCCCATTCTGCATTGACAGATAAGGAGGAATTTCTATAATACCATGAATTGGTCCATTATGTTCTTTATTTCATAGGTCCTGTCCCCAAATCACTCTCCATCCTCTCTCTCTGCTCTCTCCTGCTCAAGAGCAAAGTTTTCCAAAAAGTTTAGAGTAGCATTGGAGTGACTATTGCCATGGGAGGGATGGGAATGGTCTGGGTCATCCCCTCTTCCATCTCCCTTTGGAATCAGGAGAGAAGCTGGGTTTGCTCAGAGTTTCTCAACCAATGTTCTTGGGGATTTTGTTTTAGCTCCCTTCTTCCCAAGGTTGACTCCCTGGATTGTGGCTGTGGCTGTCACCCTGATGGCCCTAGGGCTTCTCACCATTGGGTCCATTTTTTTCACTTGGAGACTATACAAGGAAAGATCCAGAGAGAGGAATAATGAAATGAGGCCTAAAGGTAAGTCATAGAATTCACAAAGGCTACCTGTCAAGAATGCTTCAGAGAAGGGTTGGACCCAAGTCCTTCAGGATGACTTCCAACAGGAAGACAATTTGTTTCCAGAGTTATGAAAGTTGGAAGAGATTATAAGCCTCATGAAGTCACAGATGCCCAATATAAAGAACAGTTTTGAGGCACAGACAGAGTTAAAACCAATTCTAATTGAGATAGTAGACCTGATTTTACTCACTACCCACCCTCAGCCCCTACCCCCACTTTTAACTCAGTTTCTCAGTAACCCTCTTATTATTAAAGATCTAATCCCAAGCCAGTAGGAACTTCCTGCATGTTTCTTAGAAAACTAAACAAAACAAATTTTTTGTTCTTGATTTATTGATAATGTTTCAGTAATCAGGAGTCATGAATTAAACAGTTTGTCCTTTGTGTGTTTCACACACCAGTTTGTCCCCTCCCTCATGTCCTCTGTAGAAAGCCATTGAGGTATTTTTGTTTGTTTTCCAGAGAAACTCCTAGAAGAGCTCAGTAAGTTCTGTCTTCTTGTCGCTATTTCACCCACAAGGTTTTCTCTCTCTTATGTAACCTGTCAATGACTATCTCTTTCCTTCATTGCAGAATGGACAAAGGCTGCATTGCATACAGGTCAGTGGCTCTGAACTTCTAAAGGGCTCTGAGGCTCTATCCCCAGGAATTCAAAGTCCTATGATACTTGGAAATGAAAACACTAACACACTTTACTGACGAGGATAGAAATGGGAGAGGTGATAGAAAATGGCCTCAATACTTCTCCTGAGGCACATAGAAGGCCCTTGGATGATGGCTAGGAGACAAGCCCCTCTGATAGGATCCCAGTAGGCAGTGGGGACAGTCAGCTCTTCCATCACCCTGTGGCTGCTGATGAGGGAGGGAGCCTGGGGGAATGGAGACCCCTAGCAGGCCTAGCAGCCCTCCCCCTGAGGAGACCTGTCAGCTCCTAGAACAGTGCCCTATTTCTTTGGAGCAGGAAGGACAGGTCCTGTAACCTCTTATGTCCTCTGATGGTCACACTTTCTCTCTCTCTGTCTCCAGTTGATGTGACTCTGGATCCAGACACAGCCCATCCCCACCTCTTTCTGTATGAGGATTTAAAATCTGTTCGACTGGAAGATTCACGTCAGAAACTTCCTGAGAAACCAGAAAGATTTGACTCGTGGCCCTGTGTGCTGGGCCGTGAGGCCTTCACCTCTGGAAGACATTACTGGGAGGTGGAGGTGGGAGACAGGACAGACTGGGCGATCGGTGTGTGTAGGGAGAACGTGATGAGGAAAGGATTTGACCCCATGACTCCTGAGAATGGGTTCTGGGCTGTGGAGTTGTATGGGAATGGGTACTGGGCCCTCACCCCTCTCCGCACCCCTCTCGCATTGGCAGGAGCCCCCCACCGGGTTGGGATTTTCCTGAACTATGAATTAGGAGACATCTCCTTCTACAACATGACTGATGGATCCCATATCTATACTTTCCCCAACGTCTCTTTCTCTGGCCCCCTGCGGCCCTTCTTCTGTCTATGGTCCTGTGGTAAAAAGCCCCTGACCATCTGCCCAATTGCTGATGGGCCTGAGGGGGTCACAGTAATTGCTAACACCCAGGATCTTTCTAAGGATATCCCACTGTCCCCCATGGGGGAGGACTCGGCTTCTGGGGATACAGACACTCTCCATTCTAAACTAATCCCTACCCAGCCCAACCAAGGGGCTCCTTAAGGAATATCCCAGCTCAGCTCATTTCCTTTGCTCTAACCCCTCTCCTCCATCACCCCCTGAGACTTTGGCTGCCAGCTTCACCCAACCGCTGTTTCTCCCTGTTGGGTAGTGATTAATTGACTTGGGAAGGTCGTGCTGCTGCTGCTGGAGAGGGCGGGGGGTAGGACTTTCCTGATCTGTTTCTGTACCAATATTTGGGGGATGGAGAGGTGACTCTTAATCTGCTTCTAGTGTTCTCCTATCCCATAAGGCCAGAATCTGTTAGGAAGGAATTGGAGCACACCCAAATGACAATTCAGGGATTGAGATGGGATTAGGTTGGCACGGGGCTGTGACAGAAGTGTCTTGGTGTCCAGAATAGGAGTATGTGGAGGAACAGGTTTTAGGCAAGCAGAAAACCCAATGGTTGCTAATAAAGGAACAATCCCAGGCTGAAATCTCATAACGGAACTTGGAGAGAACAGCAATGATGGAGGAAAGTGGGGTGAACCCAGACCAATGATGAGCACCTGGACTGCTCTTAGAGTTTCACAGCCTATGTCTCAAATTTTGTAAGCCATTTCCTATAGGGTGGAGGACACTGGCCCTCCTTCTGTGGGAGCTGAGCTGTGGGCAAAGGGGAATAGAGAGGAGCTGGGATAAGCAGGGCTGGGGGGTTGGACAGAAAGTGTGACAGAGGAGAGAATTTCGGACAAAACTCGAAGGTTGTCTGTACAGCCATGCCTCAGATCTTGTTCCTCTCTCTGCACCCTCCTGTTTCTCCCTTGCCTGGAGGTGATTCCAACCTCACCCTGTTGACTCCACAAGTTTCCAGTTCTCCCCTTCCTTTTGATCTAGCATCTCTCCATTTCAAAGGCATTTCCAGGAATCATCCTTCAGTGATATCACCACTTTATCAGCCACTGTTTCAGCCTCACCCCCCCTCAGCCCTCATTCCAGAGTCTGTACTCCTCCAACACACCTCTGATTAACTTCAACTGCCACCCATTTCCACACCGTGCCGCCACACTGCTGGTCACTGTCTCCTCACCTGTCTTTCCTACACGTTGCTTCTCCTCAGGATCCCCTGAATGCTGCATCATTGTGCTCAGCACAGTGGACTGATTGTACCTGTTCGTATCTGCCCTTGAACATTGTCCTGCATACTTGTGGCTTATCTTGCCAGGGGACTGCAAATGTATGCAGGCTCACACCTTCCACTTTCATTGTATTTTTCTAGCTTCCAGGATAGATGCTGCCCATGGTCTTTACCTAATAAATAAGTCTGTCTGATTGTTGAAAGCAGCCTCTAAACTTCCCTTTCTTTGTCCCAATAATGGAATCGAAACAAAATAAAACAGAAGGAAGAAACTTCAATAGAATGAACCCGGCCAAAGCACTACCATTCTATATGGTCCAAGACGCATCCCCGGGCCTGATGGCATGGGCTTACCAGGGCAGGCAATTACAGGGGGCTGTTGCCCCATGAGGGCCCAATTCCTTAAAAAAAGGTCCCAGTGCCAATGACTACCTACCCTCAGCCTCCGTTTGGGTGGTGACTCCATTTCTACTACTATAAAGATAACTGGCCCATGGTTTAGGTAAGTGAAGCCACCTTTTCAAACTAACAGTACTTTTCTAGGAGGAGGAAATATTTGAAAATCTTTAATGATAATGCCTTGTAATTAAAAACAAAGAGAAAAAACAAAAAAAAAAATGGGTTAGAGCCCAATATTTGTAACACTAATATTAAGGGAGATCTGCCAAAAACAAAACAAAACATGGGCCGGCCGGTGGCGCACTCGGTAGAGTGCGGCGCTTGGGAGCTCAGCGGCGCTCCCGCCGAGGGTTCGGATCCCATATAGAGACCAGTCCGCTCACTGGTTGAGCGCAGTGCAGGCGCAACACCAAGGGTTGCGATCCCATTACCGGTCACGAAAAAAGACAAAAAGGAAAAAAAACAAAACAAAACAAAAGCATGGGCAATCTTCGGAAACCATGGCTCCTGAAGGGAGACTCTATGTATTCTGCTTGAAGGCCCTGGTCTTCAGCAAGTTGCTGACTTTCTCCTCTCTTGCCCCAAGGGAGGGTTAAGAATAGGCCCCCTCATAAAGGGTCTGACCTGAATGCAATTCAAACAGCCCTGCGGCCCAGAAAGACAGAATGTGTCTCCAAAGTTTGACAAAACAGTGGGAAAATCATCTCATATGTATGCCACCTGCTGAGAAATCATCAAAATCAGACTTACTTCTTATCATACCACAAGATCTCCAAATTCAAAATTACATTCACACTAAAATAGTGTATGCAGTATTTCACCACAATATATTTCTCACGATTAAGCTAAAAACCAACTTTTCTTAATTTTCAGTCTATCTGCAATTTTCACAGAGGATCATGACAAAAAGAGCACCAACCACTCTCTCTTAGGTGGAAATTCTGAACATCAGACACGTCTATTATCAGTATACTCACTGTAAGCAAGATGTGACCACCATATACTCCATTACCCACCTTTTGTCATTGTCACTCCCATGTTCCACCTCCATTTATATTTTCATTCTGGTTTTAGTGTCTTCCTATTGACTGGGTTCAAGACTTATGTAATAATATCCACATAATCACATTCCCATGGATGTAATACGAGATTATTTAAAAATGAATCTGCACACAGGCTTATAAATCAGGAGACCACACAGGTTTTATTCTGGGAAGAGGCCAAGAGGAAAATGTAATTGAACTTTAGGATGAGAAGTGACTATTGACATTTACTCCAATCCCCTCTTTTCAAAGATGAGGAAACAGATGTCAAGAGAAATGAAGCGATTTGGTTAAAGACACACAGTATGTGGTCAGACCAGTATCAAAGGTGTCCTCACTATAAACTGTCCCAGACATCCTCCACTGAGTAAGCTGCAGATGGGTGGAAGGACAGATTCAGTTAATCTAGGGGCTGGAACTTCAGAAAATTCTTTAGGAATTCTACCTAGGTGAAACCCATTGGCTCAGAATATTCCTAGGCAGAGAGAGGCACAAGAGAAAAAAAAAGTCAGCTTAGCATTCTACCTTGTACAGACCGAGGGTCTGCACCTGGGGGAGCAGACAGGAAGGGCTCTTCCTCCATCATTTCATGGGTCCAGTGTTCTCCCTCACTTGCCCCGTCCTCAAACATTCCCTATCCCATACTGCTCACCCCACACTGTACTCCTGGGACGAGAATATAATTTATTCCTGTTTTAGAAGTATCCATTTGTAGTCAAACTGAACTTTTAGAAAATCAAAGGAAACATAGTCCAAACTTCTTTTAAAAAAATACTTAGGAACTTCAGGCAGTTGCTTTACTGGTTTAATGTGTAATACATATCCTAAAATGTATTTGTAAAACCTCACCCAGAATAGACAGGGCTTCCACGAGAACCCCTTTTTGAGAGTAGAAAGAAAAATGGTCACAGATTTTAATCAGCTCTGTGACTCCCCTTCCCTTCCCTTTCACATGATCTTCAAAGAAAATGGTCACCAGGCACGGTACTGAGCTGGTGGTAGGTTCTTAGGCAACACCTGTGTCTTTCTCCTTTCCCCCATCTCCAGCCTCTTTGTGTGACACACCCCTGAGGAAGAACTTATCTGATAAAGCCAAGAACCTGCCTGGCATGAGCCATCAGAACTGTGCTACAGTGATGAGGAAACTATCAGTCTCGGTAGTTCTGGCTTTATTTCCAAATCTTCTAAAAGACAAGAAATGTCACCCCACCAATGCTTTACCAAAGCCTTAGTGACCGGAAGCAGAGTTTGTGATACTATGATTTCAAAAGCACCAGAAAGACCTCTTTTCCACCACTGCAAATAACTAACTGAAGGACTTACTAATGTCTGATTTTCCTTTTAAACCAGAAACAAGAGCCTTTCCATTCCACAACTAAAGATCAGACTAAAAATGCAAATGCCACTAAAATAATAATAAGTGACTTCATTTCACACTTCCAAATGCCAGCTGTGGTAGTCACATATTCAGGGGTGCCTGCTTCTGTTAAACAGAGACTCTGAGGTAACTGAGCCCAGACATTCAGATTAAGAGAAAAATAATTGTACAACCACCCTCTTCCCTAAGTAACAGCAGCTCTTCCATCCCATCTCTAGGTGCACCTCAATTCATGCCTCTTCTGCTTCCAGACAGCACTCACATCTCTTCATATCTCCCACCTGCCGCAGTCCCTGATAGCCCACACCCAACATTGACTCATTTTATTATTTCAAAACGGAGATAACTTATTTTCCAGAATACACATGAAAGTTTACTTTTAAAAGTAATAATGGTCCATAATGTCATCAGACAAACATGACTAATACCAACATTTGGATTTATCCTCCCCTTTAAAAAAAAAAAAATCTATTATCTGTTTATTCCAATTGATTTAAACTACTTGCTTTTTAGGGAGTGGATTTCATAGCAGTTTGAGCATATTTGGGGAGAAGGTTTCATAGCTTTGCAGTACAAATGTGGTAGCTGTGATGGACATAAAAAGAGATTTAAGAAGCCTGTATGGTTATTTCACCAAGATCAAGGGTCTGGATCCCTATACTGGCCAGACACCAGGAAAAAAAAAAAAAGACGACTATGAGAGATAGTGGGAGATAGAGTGATATGCATATAGAAAATAAAAGGCAGAACTAGTTATAGTTTGGTGCCTCCTTTAAAAATTTTTTTTATTATTATTTTAATAAACACAAGCTGGCTGGCCAGTTAGCTCACTTGGGAGACCTTGGTGCTGATAACACCAAGGTCAAGGGTTTGGATCCGCGGACCAGCCAGCCACCAAAATAATAATAATTTTTAAAATAAAATAAATAAATAAAAGATAGAGATTAAATCAACAAAGCCTCCAACTCTTCTGCACACAGAAATACAATATGTAATAGGGATTTCTGGTTTTTTGTCTTGTTTAATAGCAAGCAGTATAGTATCATTCTTCCACTTCCCGCTTACTCCCTATGGCTTACTTATCACAATATTTAACCCCTGG